TTTCATAATCAGAAGCTTTTAAGTTGATAATACCATTATTAATTTAAATTAAATTGCTTACGTAATTACAAATACTAATACGATTATTCTATAAGGTACACATAAGAAACGAAGCTCATACACACTAAAATTCTTTTTTCCTTCTCGTCCTTATACCAATTTTTTGCTACATAGAGAAAATAATTTATAGCTGAGAACTTAATAACTTTTAACCTTAAGGCTTTAGCACTAACCATTTACGTAAATTATTATTTCCGGTTTATGAGCCTGATTTCGCGGTCTATGCATGGATGCAAACGTTACACTTCAAACGTTGGGCAAGACGCGCACGAATCAAAAACAGGAGAAAAAGCACACTAAAAATAATCTTTAATATTAAAAATATAATATTAATAAAAAAAACAACACAGTTTGTAGTTTTTTACAGTAAAATTTTTTATACTTAATCGGCTTTAATGCGCCGTACTGTTTTACGACTATGTCAGCCTCACATCCGGCTGCTGTTCTTTTTTCTTCCTCAATGTATCTCTTCCTGTATGCTTTAATTTTTTGTTTATTTTGCAGATTGTGCGACCCGTAAACGCATTTCTCATTGTTGATGTACAAAATGACTTTATAAGTGGTTCTTTGGATATAAGTAATTGCAGTGCACAGCAAAAAGGATATGAGGTGAGTACTTAAAGGGAATAAAAATAAGAAAAATGTGATACGCAAGAAATATGAGTAGTAAAAGTTGAAATGGTAATGGCTTCAGTGGTGGGCTCTAGTTGGGTGGTTCAAAGTGATACCCGTGTAAGCGACGGAAGTGATATGGTTTACATTGTGTGTAACGGGTGACGGGTGTGCCGTTCAGTAACGGATATTCTTTACTTAAGTCGTTTCCGTTTGTCGTTACTGTTGATATTGGTTAGTATTCATATGCAGCCAATAAAGTGCTCTAAAAGATAGGGAATTTCTTACAAATATTTATGCAGTTTTTTAAATATCTTACTTTTTATATTTATAGATACTTGAACCTATTAATAACCTATTGGAAACAGTTGATTTTGATGCTACCTTTTATTCATTAGATTGGCATCCCAGTGATCATATTTCTTTTATAGACAATGTTAAAATGCGTCCTATGGATGAATCGTCACCAGTTAGTGATTTATACAAATATAAAATAATAAGTGGAAATATTGTTTATATATATATGACCGCAATGTTTTTTATAGATTGATGCGGACTCTGCGCAAGTATTTGATACTGTGATATTTGCTGGTCCACCACCAATGAAGCAACGGCTTTGGCCACGTCATTGTGTACAAGATTCATGGGGTGCTGAATTGCATAAGGATTTGAAAATAGCGGACAACAGTGTTAAAGTTTATAAGGGCACAAATCCAGAAGTAGATTCATATTCAGTGTTCTGGGATAATAAAAAACTTTCAGATACTTCGCTAAATGCACAGTTAAAACTGAAGGGAACTACCGATATATACGTATGTGGATTAGCTTATGATGTTTGTGTTGGTGAGTTTAATTAATTCAATTTTTTTAATATATTCCACTAAAGATGAGTTCTGGATTTCAATATTTGAGGAAAATAAAACGAATCAAAACAAAACTAAACAAATCAAATTAAATCAGAAATCAACTAAAAAATCAGTATGTGAATCATTACATTTTCTATTAAATTCAAATATCTTATATGTTTGTTAATTTTTCTATGATATATATGTGTATTTGTTGTGCAAAACTATCGATAGAAGACAATTGGGTATTTGAACTACTAATAGTTATACAAATTTATATAAAGTGAAAAATAATAAAAAATCTTAATTGATAATTATAAAGGTAGATCAAAGACCCTTTTAAAAAATGTACAACTCAAATTTCAAACGTTCATTTGGTAAAATGAAAACATGTATGTTTATACACTATTAATACTGGGCGAAGGATCTAGCAGTCCAGTAACTCATTCTTAGTTAACTCTAAAATTAAATTTAATGTTAACTCACAAATAATAAAAATATTAACTATTAATAAAACAGCCTTGTATTTCTCAAGATGTCATGAAGCAATAAAAAATAAACATTGTAGTAAAACACACTCGAAGAGATCTTAGTCAGTAATATGTTTTTTCCCTCAACAGCTTGTTGAGCATTGTCTATAATTCCTGATAAATTTCAAAATTTCTATTAACATAATAAAGCAATACGCCTAAGTAGATGGTTGGAGTTGCTTAACCTAACCGCAATAGTTTTCATCTTAGTCTAAAGTAAGAGTTAAATTGATAAAACACTATTATCTATAGTTGAAAGAGTAGAATAAAAAATAGGAAATTCGTATGAATAATAATATATACTAAATAGTTCATACAAAAATATTTCGTCATAAAAATGAAATTTGTAGGTTATTTGTCAGAGATCGCTCACATTTTCTCAATGCTTCCGTGTGCTAGTTTACTTAAATTTTTTTATATTCTCTCAACTCTAATTAAAATCATATACTTGGTTATATTTGAAATAACAGTCGTTTTTTGTCACAAAATGTGCTGGTATCCAAACAGCTGGCGACACTGATTCAATTTTGTCAAACCAACACATATTTGAAGAGTGACATTTTAGGTCACATTTTTGTGAAGACAGCTGTGTAATTCGTCCATCTGACTAGCATTTATTTCGGTTTTCATAAAACTCTCTTAATGGTTAAAAATTGTCCGACCGAAGAGCTGCTAAAAATCACTTGGCCAAGTTTTTTCTTCATAAATCACAAAAGTTCTACACTCATTGATTTATGAAGCTATCCGAAAAATAGCAAGATGTCAGAAATAATAATGGTTAACAAACATATGATTGTAATTAATAATTGAATAAAAAAAGTTTTTGTTAAAAAATGGACGAAAAACGGAAGATACTTTTTAAAATCATCCAATGTACATATATAACTATATGCTTAACTTAACATGGAGGTTAACTTATGTGTACGTACAACCTCTAAGATCTATTACAATAGTATTAATATAAATACGTAAATAACTATAGTCATTCCCTTAAGATGGGAATGATGAATCTGTTCCAAAGAACAAAAACGGATAGAATTTTGTTCTAGTCTAAATTAGGAGAAAAAGTTTTCATATCTGTGCATTCTCTAAGTTATTAAATCACATTCTTAAAATATAATAATATAAGAAAAAAAAAAATATGAAAGAAAAAAAAATAAAATAAGATAAAAAAGTAAAAGCACAGAAAAAAATTATACTAATTATTCTTCAAATCTTTTTATAAATGTAAATAAAATAAAATTGTTTGCTATTGCGTACCAATTACGATAGAATAGCAATAATAGCAAAATTATACGTTTTTCACTGAATTAAAAATATACCCATTGCTCTGAATAACACTGATATATAAAAAAACTGAAGCAAGGAGTACTAAAATGTGATATTGAATCGTTTTATAAATGCTTACAATCGTGCCTTAAACACAATGTTTATATGTTAAACTAATAAAGTATCTTAATTTGCTGTGAGTCTACACAAAACATTACTATTATATTATCCCTACTTCCCACCTTTAGAGAAAAATTCGATAGTTTTTTAAAACATTGTTAATTATCATTAAAATCGATAGTATAATTAATAAAGTCATCGATAGTGTCATTGATAATTTGCTTTCACTGATATGGTTCATATGACGCTGTTATTTTAATTAATAATGCGAGTTAATTAATGAAGCAAAAAATGCTATAACAAGAATAATTCAATTTTATTAAGTAATAATTTTTTTGTATTTTATACATTTTTTCATTAACTTTTAAAATTATTTTTCACACTTCATCGTACCAATTATATTCTTGCACGTCTGGAATGCAAGCCTTAATAACTTCCTGCTTATTAAGCTGTAGGGTATATTCGTTGTAAATTGTAAACTCAAAAATTTTACAGTACGAGTATAGTTTCTGGCTTCATTACCTTAAATATTTAGTGAGCTGTTAATTAAATATTTTTACAAAGCTTCAGAACGATTTTCGTACCTCGTCCAACTATTTGCTTAACTGAGATATATTCACGTCACCTTCCGTTCTACTTCAAGGTGCTACGGCTGCTGATGCTTTATCCGTTGGTTATCGCACTATTTTGATTGATGATTGCTGTCGTGGCACTGATTTTCATGATATTGAACATACCAAGGAAACGGTGATTACCCATCACGGCGTCATTGTGCATTCCAATGAGGTGAGTCCTTGCAAATTGCTGCTATTATTATTGCCATAAACTGGTTAAAAAATGCAATTTGCATACTATAAACTTTTCATATTTCTTGTTTTAACAGGTTAAAGGAATGGCTGAAGGACGTGATCGTCGTCCTGAACTTGGTTACAAATTAGCTATGGAACTAAAAAATCCTGACTCTGCACTATCGCAGCGCAATGAAACACGTCCAGTTCAAAGAATAAGAGATGATTCAAATTAACTGCATTAAAATCAGTAAGGACGTAAAACTGAAGCACAGGCTTGGTTTCAAACTTCACTATTTTATTTTAAAAATGTACATCCTTCACAAAACTGAACTGTAGTAACGAGTATTTTGAAATAATATTTAGGGTTTCGTAATAGCATATCATGACTTATTTATTTATGGAAAAGTATATAGTATTTAAGCACATCTCTTATCTTTAATTGGTTTTATTTTCAATTTTATATTGTATTTTGTTTGACATTTGGTACTTAGAATACTTTGCCTTGAAGAAACATGTAACTTATTATACGATATTTAAAAATTTCAAAACTTTCTTGTCTTAGGGGAATTAGTAATAATTTTATTTATTTTTATTAATTACAAACTATATATAGTTGGAATCATGTGAAAAACTGAACAAAATAATTGCACTGATTAATTTTAAAGCAAAAATATTAAAATGGAATAAAGATTATTATTAAAACTGCAATAAACTATTTTGTTTAATATACACACATGTTGCAGTAATAAAAATTTATTTAAAAAAGTATTTATGTGTTGTTTAAGTTTCAAAATTTTTTTATTTTTATTATTAAATAACAGAAACTTTAAAAAATTATCAAGATTAAAACAAATTTTTTGTATGAAATTTGAAACTAAACAAATAATTGGAAACCAGAAAATTGGTGCAGAATCTCTCAATCAACAGTTTTTGCTGACATAGCATCTAATTCTAGATAGATTCACTTTTCGATTAAGTGAAAATAGATTTTTTGCAAAGATTTTGAACTGTTGATATAGAGTGGACTCACCACAATATTCTAAAGAGAAAAAAACCAAAACAATGGATTTGTAAGTTGAAAACAACTCAAAAAAGTGAAGATTTTATAGTCAGGTGCTAAATAGAAAGGATTGCAGTCACAGAACTAAAATTTTAATTTAAAAATTAGATATTTATTTTTTCGTTTCGCAAATAGAAAGTAATTAAAGCAATTGTTTTTCTGATAGAGCCAAATTTCTGCCTCTTTTTCTTCTTCACTGTTTGATCAAACGGAAGTTAGTCTCTTAATCATATTTACTCAATACTGTCTGTGACTACTTGGATGATTCACTACAACACGTGATTCTCTGAATACTGATAATGAGTTATTTAGTAGAATTTACAGAACCACAGTTTGAAGTCGAGCATATCTTCGTGACGGAATATATATTGCATTTAATTTAAAAGAGTGCAATTTTGAATTAGTGTGAGCATCCACAGAATTAAAAAATTTCAGCGCTTTGTCTTTAATATACTTTTGCACACATTCGAAAATTAAAAAATTGTAAATGAATTATTAGAATATTGATAAATTTTGAGAAGTATAGTATGGAGAATTTTATTCTTCCGAATTGTAAGGGATGCCATATGTGTACCATACCAAAGACTTATTGATGATATCTTTTATTATTTTTGTCAAAAGTTTTTCCGTTATATGAATCGATATAGTCACATTCGTTGGTCGTTCATCTGCATACCATCAGTCCCTTTTTCACTAATTAACATTAAATTAGTTTATATTAATCAAATGAAATTGTGCATAGAAACCTTTTTGTTATTCTATGTAGGATAAGTCGACAAATTTTTTTTTCATTGCACACCAGTTTGTTGATCGAAGGGTCTAAGATGAACAAAAGCATTGGAGCTGGAATCTTCTATAGATCTAAAGATTAGTAAATCATATCATCTCTGCGATTTTACCTCAATATTTCAGACAGAAATCTTCGCCATCCTAACTATCAGTTTGTTGACTATATCTTTTGACTTACACTTTCTAGCTTCAACTGTATTTTTCGTATCGTATGACTCATGTACAAAACATGTGTGAGAATTAAGTTTATATTTTATAAATATTTCATTATAATCGGATATTCCACGCGTGTTGTAATTTTGTGCTTCAAGTATCACTCTTTTCAAAAGTGGAAGATTTAAACTGAAGTAGATAAACCTTAAATAATTGTAAAGCTTAATTAACCATCACTAACAATATCATCACACATTCGAAAAAAAATGAGTTCTTCAAAAAGCAGACTATTTTTGAGTTGAAATTAATTCAAAATAATTTTTCTAGGACAGCTTACAACTAATTTAAGTTTGCCCTAGTTTTCTTTAACCCTTAAAAAGGCTTTATTTACATTTCGGAAAATTTCTCTTTATATCAAAATAATTTTGCTTGTTTTTATAACTTTTAAAATATTTCGAATTTAGCATATTTAAATACATTTCGTAAACATGCCAGAAAATATGCATAACAAACTATAAGACACTGAACATTCAACAGCATAAAGTGTACTTGAGGTGGAGTAAAGATGTAGCAAAGGGTTAAAATCTATACCCAACCGACGGCTATACTATGTTGGACGGACATTTAGCCTAGTTTTGTTTGTGCTCGCTCTTCTCGTTGTTTGTAGATAAATTCTTGTTTAGTTTAATTTTTATTTTTATTTTCATTTCTCGTTTCGAGTTTGTCTTACTATATCTGTACTGCTTATCCTAGAGGTCCTTAAATTTCTACAGTGTTTTGTTGTATGTCAGTTTCCGAAGCAGAGGTGCATAAAATACACGGACACACTTTTACTTTATCAGTTTTGTCAGTACTACTACACTTGGCCACATTTCTGTCTGACATTATTCCTTTGCTGACATTGTTGTTGTAGCAGTGCTGTTATTACTGTTGTTGTTGTTGTTGTTTTTATATGTATAGCTATTGGTCCAAAAGTGGCTTTTTCAACTGGTATCTTGTGAAACTCTTTGGATGATTGTCATACGGCCGTTGTTGGCTTATTGCCAAACTATGAGCTGCTTTTACGGTTTAACAGCATATCTGCGACTTTTTTCGGATACTTAAATTGTAAAGAGTTAAACGTGCTGGTAATGATGCTGATAGTTTCAGTAAAAATAATGGCCACCAAAACTTGAATATTGAACGTATACATTATAAACGGAAATTGTAAAATTGGTTACAAGTTTTTCTTTTATATTTAATTTTCTCTTTTATTCCAGCAAAGTTGTTGATTTTTACTTAAATTTGCAGCTGCTGTAAAATTGTTGGTATTAGCCTAACCGTTCGCCTTACCCATTTTGTATGTAATATTTTTATGGTAAAATATTTGAATTGCCGTTTAGCACATAATTCATTGGCAATTTTCAAATTTACGAGTATTTTTTTATACAAAGATATTTTTAGCGCAAAACTATTTATACTGCTGCATTGTCTACTTTGTCCGTTTTGTCTGCTTTGACTGCGTTGAAGTTTTTGTTGAGTGGCAATTTTAGAATTTAATTTTTAACAATTAAACTCGGAGAAAGTTTAATTAAAAATATATTTCACATACTCAAACTATAAGTTTTCACCTTAAAAAGTAGTTTGCACACATGAAATATTAATCCAATAAGCACTTTAAGTCTTTTACTACGGATACGTTAAAGTGTATCCTTGCGGATTTGTGATATATACTCGTATGTTTGGGGTCTCCGAAAACTTTGGTAAACTTTAAAAGTTTTAATTGCGGTTTCAAATTTTCCAGCTCAAAGCAAACAACTTCATAAAACTTTTATCAAAATTGCTGAAAGGGTGATGTGGTAATCCTTGTGGTGTATTATGAGTTATGTGTACATGTGTACGAGTATTCACCATTCTGTGAACGAGTATTTGCGCACAAGCAAAAAATTGTAATTGTGCGTTGATTTGTGTGCACTTCCTTTAATGAGTGTTATCAGAACAAAGACCCAAGAAAAGTATTAGTACAATATATAGACAGATATATTTAAAATTGTCAATAAAAATAAATAAAAACAGATATCTGCAATGAAAAATTGTTTGCTTTAACTCTGTAAAAGCTTTAATACTACATACATTGATTATTATTATGATTAAGTGATCTCTCACTAGGACCAAGGGACCAATTTTGATCATTCATATATTCAGAGTGTTTCTTTGAGTCCCAGTTCCACACCCGATATAAGATGTCCACGGAATTGGCTTTTTCATTCCTGCATCAGTACCCAGCAAGTCTTAATAAGCTATTTTTGTTTGTTATTTTTACTGATCTAATGTGTCTAATAATAAGTTAATGGGATTATTTACACTATCATGAACGTGAGGTGAACTTGACGACAACATGAACTGTCAGTTCAGTTTACACTATCATAAACTGTCATGAGCGTGAAATTTGTTTTGTTTTGTGTAAACGTATAAAATGCTTGTGTGTAGAAGTGCAGAGCACAGAAATTTAAAGTATTCATGAACTCACATCATACTCTCTTCTCTCTGCCATCTATAAGTAACTGGTTTTCAAATTCATGTTCATGTTACGTTCATGATAGTGTAAATCGGACCAATCAGTTGCATCCATTATAGCATCCGAATTTCTCAATAACTAAATGCTAGTTTCAATAGGTAGGAAGACAGAATGAGTAATACATGTAGAATGAGTACTACATGGTAGAGCCGCACCATTTTACTTGTATATACAGCATCTGTTCAGATCTGTTTACGATCTGAAGTATATATAAGCAAATACCTTACTAGGTAACATCCAAACTGGTATTGGAGAGCATTAACAAGTTCCACATACGTGGCTGGAACAATCAGATACACTTAATTTGGATTCTGGGCATGCTGGACTCCAAGATAATGAAATAGCAGAGAAACTCGTAAGAGGAGGCGCGACTTCAATGAAAAAGAGGCCCAGAATCTTTCTGCGATCTAAGCCAAGGGTCTCTACCTCTTTTTATGAATGGCGCAGAGAAAAAGGAAAGGAATCTAGAATGCTGTTAAAGACATTCAACCTAAAACGCTTCAATGATTGCATAAAACTAAGAAAAAGTAACATAAGAATTGATCACTGCACATTAAATAATCACTTAACAAAGTTAGGAATCCAATCCAACTCAACCTGCAGATACTGTAGAGAAGAGAGACAAACCGCATATCATGTGCTATGGATATGCCCGGCACTGACGTACAAGCGGAAGAAACACCTTTGAGGGTATTTCATGGATTATAAGGATTAAAAGGTAGGATCATTGTCGGGTGCTATGTAGCCTGGAAAATACAACGTACATATTTTTAGTAGCTTGTATAAAATAAAATATATATATATAGAACATTCGAGTTTATTGATATCTGCAGTTGTTAAAGTTCAGATTTCCATAGCATAGAACAGTTAAGACCCCATTTATCATTTTACAAGATTGGTTTTGAATTTAAAATTAAGATTATAACTGTTTAATATCTTTTTGTATGTGAGAAATATATGAA